GTATATATTTCCGATTTCTTATTTTTACTTTGCAAAATTACTTTCAGAAACAAAACACTTGAATATATGTAAAATATTTTTAATCTTTCATTTATTTTACAGAAAGTGGTTATAGATAGGTTATAAACATTCGAGCTTACTAAAAAAAATAACATGACAATACTGGGTGAAAAATGATCATATTATCTTAATGTAATATTATATAAACTATGTTTTTAAAATTCACAAAAGTTTTTATCGGTTGTACATAGTAAAACTTTTGTTTATTTTATTTCACAACGTTTCACCAGGTTTACCTGATATCATGAAAGTTGTTGTAACCCCACCTGATGATGCTAGGTAAACCTGGTGAAACGTTGTGAAATAAAATAAACAAAAGTTTTACTGTGTACAACCGATAAACACTTGTGGGGACAAAATATTATCTGTTTTTATTTTATTTTAAAGAACACTTGTCTGTATTAAAAATTTCAAGGTGTTTCATTTTGTTATTTTTAATTTATCTATTTTCTTATTTTATCGAGATATAGTGACTGGCATGTAACACCACGTTCTCCAGTTACTCAAATATTGGTAGAGCTTCTTTAAAGGATTATTAAAACACCTATTAATATTTAAGGTAACCTTATTTTTACTCTTACACTCACCATTACTCTTTCTCACACATAAATATTTAGCGAATTGGCATTCCATATCATTGAACTAGTGAGAAGTGAATAGTGTTCAAAATTGTGCTTCAGCGTTATTATGGCTACTGTGAACCAGTAATTTTATTTTGATATAACTATACTTATATCCCAACAGATGGCGCTAGAAGTACTCCAGTGGAATCGTGACGAGGTTCGTTTTGTAATGGCCGGCAAACTGCATTTCTACCCAATGGCAGACATGCCATGGAACAAGAAAGGAAAGCCACAGAAGTTTACCACAGTTCATGCATTGCTTGTTACATTAGGAAAGCCTAATTCTAATTACAAACCTGACTTGGCCAACGAAAACTCTATCCTGTTTCCTAGAAACACGGGAATCAAGGATGCTACGCTACTTCTATTGAAAGAAAAGAACGGTCGATTTATGCTAGTCAAAGTAAGAATCAAATTACCCATTATGCTGGATAACCAATATGCTGAATAACCTTTGAAGAAAAACAAAAGAATGCATATTAATCAAGGTTTTCATAATTTTTTCAACTCCTCCACATTTACTGCTGAGTTTTATATTTATTGAAACACTTTAAAATGATTTAAATTGCTGTCAGTGTCTAGTTAGAAATTAAAATGCGCAACTTTGTGTTTTAGTTGGATAATGGAAAACAAGAAACAAAGATTTGTTCAACTGAAAAAACTGCACTGTTTATCATACTGTAAAGCAATGTTGTTTTCCGCTTGTTAAAATTAGGTATCGTATAACATTTCAAATGCATTGTAAATTATTGTTTCCCAACATTCATTGTACCTTGGTAACGCGGTAGGCCTAGCATAACTTGGAGATTGAGTCGTGGGTTCGAATCCCCATCACCGAACATGCTCGCTTTTTCAGCCGTGGAGGCGTTATATATATATATTGTGCTCAATTCCACTATTCGTTGGTAAAAAGATAATATCCCAAGAGTTGGCGGTGGGTGGGAATGACTAGCTGACTTCCCTCTAGTCTATCACTGCTAAATTAAGGACGGCTAGTTTCGCGAAATTCAAAAACAAACATAACTTGGCTCAACGGTACGTCCAAGGACTTATAACACTAAAAATTGGGTTTCCATACTCGTGGTAGATACAGCACAGATAGGCCACTGTGCAGCTTTTTGCTTAAGAACAAAATAAACCTTGAGAACTATGTCCTCAACTTGTTATACTAAGGACTTTTTACTTTAAACCTCTTGGGAGACATGTAGTTAGCTTTTAATTTTAATTTAATTTTTTTCAGGATCCCATGCACCTTGGGAACTGTGTCATTAGCACTGATCCAGAAAGCTGTGAAATAATCGAAGTCCAAGATTATACGACAAAGGAAGCTTATTTTTTTAAGGTCAGATACTACGATGACTCTCCTTAAAGTTAGAATTTCAAGTTCAAACACGTGGAAAAAAAAAAGGAAACGCAATTATATGTTATTTGTAAACCACGTCTATAATTGATATAATAAATATTGCTCTAATGTTTTCACTCATACTTAATACATAGATTATTTTTATGTTTTACAGTATGTAGTAACTAAGTAGTTTTACATTACTAATTATTCCGTTATCTGTAGTGTAGTTGTTTTTTTAACTTCAACTCGCCTCCTAGTGACACAGCGGTACATCTGAGGACTTACAGCGCCAGAAACCGGGTTTCGATACTCGCGATGGGCAGAGGACAGATCCGCCCATTGTGTAGCTTTGTGCTTAACTTCAAACAAACTTTACTTCAACTCAAGGCTCTAGTTTGAAAGTTTGAATTTTCTTTAGAAGTGAAACAGAATAATTATTTTGTTTACATCTCATTAATTACTACCAAATCAAGGGCTGTAAAAAATACTATAGCATTTCACGTTAGCTGATAGTCAGTAAAGATAGAATCTTATATTTCTAACATTTCATGTTAATAAAGATGGAATCTTACGTTTCTTATATTCAATGCTAGCTAATAGAGTCAGGAAAGATAGATACTTATGTTTTATACATTTAACGTTAGGTAATAGAATTATTAAAGATGAAGTCTTATGTTTTATACATTTAACGTTAAGTGATAGAATTATTAAAGATGAAGTCTTATGTTTTATACATTTAGCGTTAGGTGATAGAATTATTAAAGATGAAGTCTCATGTTTTATACATTTAGCGTTAGGTGATATAATTATTAAAGATAGAAACTTATGTTTTATACATTTAGCGTTAGGTGATAGAATTATTAAAGATAGAAACTTATGTTTTATACATTTAGCGTTAGGTGATAGAATTATTAAAGATGAAATCTTATGTTTCTCATAACAACTCTTCCTAACAGGCTGATACATTAAAGGAGTCCAATGATTGGTTGAGACAGCTGAGATACCATGCTAAGGATCTTGGAACGTGGCGAAAAAGACGAAATGCTCTCGCTAATATTATGATAAATGGTATGGTACGTTAATAATAACCTATCTTTAAAGAACTTTATAAAAGAGACAATCTGAGAACGGCGAGTTTTCAACTACTACGCTTGAATGAATGAAAAAGTTCCAGTCTCGTTTTCCTAATTCTGGTGATATAGCGTGAGAAAGATGTGATTTGAACGAAAAAACATTAATGTGAAGAGAAATATTTGTTTATTTGACAAAAATTGCGAAAATATCACATTAACTTAAACTTACCTTGCCAGAGGTGCAAGCGGTAAGTTTTGGCTGCTGGTAGGCCTAATGGACGAGCGCACGAATACTTACACAGTTTGAGGATAATTTATACCTTTTGCTGACTGGAGCCCTATTTCTGCAAGAAAAAAACAACTAAAATGTTCAACTGGAAACAATATCCATAGTTTCTTTTTCTTTTTAGATTATTCAAAAGTATGCTTCACGAATTTACTTATACTTCCAACAACGTCTTAGAATTATATGATTTTGGGATTTTTTAATACTTCAGTTGACTTTGAAGATGTCTAATCAAATAAAAGTTTCAAGCTCTGGATTGCTTTATATTAATACTTTTGCAATAGAGAATGTTATATAGTTGTATATTTCATATTTCTCACTGTCGGTTGTTTACCTATTGTGTTCACATTCCAATGTGTTAAAAAATGATGTGAAATTTGTACAGCCTGACAGAAGAAAAAAAGTGAATTATGTAGTATATACCTAGTCTTGTGTTGCAGAATTAAAATAACTTTATAAAAATGTTGTACTAAACCTAATGTAAGAAAATGTTTAATAAAGCTAATCTTTATTCTTTCTCTGTGTCTGGTTACGTTTTCACAATATAGCATTATGTAATTTATCGTAAAACTAAGTATAAAAATTGAAAAATCAGTTAATTTTATTAATAAAACTGACGAATAAAATATTCTCTAAGCATTTAAAACATTTTAAACAGGAAATGATATATAAAGATAATAATGTAAACAAGAAACGATATATACAGGTGATTTTGTGAACAAGAAATGATATATACAGATGATATTGTAAACAAGAAATGATATATACAGATGATATTGTAAACAAGAAATGATATATACAGATGATATTGTAAACAAGAAATGATATATATATATAAATAATATTGGAAACAATAAATGATACATATATACAGATAATATTCTAACAAGAAATTATATATATATAATATATTAAACTTTGCATACCTGGCATTTATAATTTTAGCCTGAACATTTCTTTATGCTACACATGGGCTAAACAGTCACATCAGAGTGACTAGCGAGAAATAGTCCACAAGTTATAGTAACAGATACTGTTGTAAATAACAAAACTATACACATAAAAGTACAAACAACAACTACTATTATGAACAGTAAAACTATACACATGAAACTATAAACAACAAATACTATTATGAATAGCAAAACTATGCACATAAAAGTACAAACAACAACTACTATTATGAATAGCAAAACTATACACATCAAAGCATAAACA